TGCTCAAACACAGCAATGATTGAGAGAAAAGTGCAGGACCAGGCAGTGTTTCATTCTGGTGTACATAGGGTCACTATGAGTTGGAACCAACTTGACAGCACCTAACAATAACAATAAAATGAAGAACTGTATTCCAACCAAGTGTGAAAACCTACAAGAAATGGACAAAATTCTAGAAACACCACCTACCCAAACTAACACAATCTGAGGTAGAAAATTTTCACAGACAGTTCACAAAAGAAGAAATTGAACAGGTCATCAAAAAATTACCAACTAAAAAAAGTCCTGGCCCAGACGGCTTCACTGGCAAATTCTACCAAGCTTTCAGAGAAGTGCTGACACCAGTTCTATTCAGACTACTCCAGAACATAAATAAGGATGGACTACTCCCAAATTCAGGTGCTCGGAAGCATAGTGCCTAAGGCACTTGACTGCTAACCAGAGGGTTGTTGGTTCAAACCCACCAGCCACTCCTCGGAAGGAAGATGGGGCAATCTACTTCCATAGTGATACTGCCTTGGAAACCCAAAGAGAGCTCGCTATGAGTTGGGTCTGACTTGATGGCACATAACAGCAACAACACTCCCAAATTCATTCAATGAAGCAAGCATAACTCTAATAGAAAATCAGGCAAAGACACCACTGAAAAAGAAAATTATAGACTAATATCCCTCAGGAGCATAGATGCAAAAATTCTTGACAAAATCATAGCCAACAGAATCCAATAACATATTAAAAATATAATATATCATGCATCGCCAAGTGGTATTCATACTAGGTATGTAAGGATAGTTCAATATTAGGAAAACAATCAATGTAATCCACTACATAAGTAAAACAAAGAAAAAGAACCACAAGGTCATATCACTCAATGCAGGAAAGGCATTTAACAAAATCCAATGCCCATTTTTGATATTAAAAAAAAAAAGCAAAATAGGAATAAAAGGGAATTTCCTAAACATAATTGTGGGCACTGACACAAAACCAATAATAATAAAAAACCACTGCCATCAAGTTGGATCCAACTCATAGTGACCCCTCTTTGGGTTTCCGAGACAGTATCACTGCAGAAGTAGATTGCCCAACCTTCCTACTGAGGAGTGACTGGTGGGTTTGAGCCACCAGCCTTCAGGTTAGCAGTCAAATGCCTTAGGCACTATGCCACAAAAAACCAATAACCAACTATTTGCAACAGAAAGAGACTGAAAATATTCCCCTTGAAAACAGGAGCCAGACAAGAATACTCTTACACCACTCCTATTCAATATTGTATTGAGAGTCCAAGCCAGAGTAATAAGGCCAGAAAGGGAAATAAAAGGTATCTAAATTGGCAAAAGAAGTAAAACTATTTCTGTTTGCAGATGATATGATCCTGTAGACAGAAAAATCCCAAAGACTAACTATGAAAATTATTGAAATCAATTGAAAGATTCAATGAGGTGGCAGGGTACTAGATCGGCATACAAAAATCAGTTAGATTCCTTTACACTAACAAAAAGAATGCTGAAAAGGAAATCAGGGAAACAATACCATTTACAGTAGCCACCCAAAAGATGAAATATTTAGGAATAAATCTAAGCATAGATACACAAGACCTATACAAAGGAAACTATAAAACACACTACAAGAAACCAAAGGGGAGCTACATAAATGGAAGAATATACCATGCACATGGATTGGAGGACTTAACATTGTGAAAATGTCAATACTATACAACGTTATCTACAGATAACATACAGATTTCCTATTATTCTTTAAAGAGATGGAAAAACTAATCACCAACTTTATATGGAAAAGAAAGAGACCCTGAATAAGCAAAGCACTATTAAAGAAAATGAACAAAGTAGGAGGCCTCTCATTTCCGAACCTCAAATCTTACTCCACAGCCATAGTAGTCGAAACAGCCTGGTAATGGTACAATGACAGACACGAAAACCAATGGAACAGAATTGAGAACCCAGATCTTTGAAAAAAGGCTCAAACCCATTAAGTGGGGAAGATAGTCTCTTTCAAAAAGTGGTGCTGGCAAATGTGGATATCCATTTGCTGAAAAATGAAACAGGATCGATATCTCTCACCATATACAAAAGCTAACTCAAGATAGATCAAAGACCTAAATGTGAAACCTAAAACTATAAAGACCACCAAGGGAAAAATAAGGACAGACTTAGGGGGTCTAATACATGGCATAAATACACTATCAAACATAACAAAAACACACAAACAGCAAAAGACAAACTAGATAACTGGTATCTCCTAAAAACTAAATACATATGCACATCAAATGATTTCACCAAAAAAGTTAAAAGAAAGCCTACAGACTGGGGAAAAAAATTGCCAATGACATATCAGACAAGGGACTAATCTCTAAAATTTATAGAAAACTTCAACATCTCAACACAAAAAGACAAATAATCCAATTTAAAAATGGGGAGAGGACATGAACAGACATTTCACCGAAGAATACATTCAGGAAACCAACAAATATATGAAGAAATACTCACCATCATTAGCCATTAGAGAGAAAAAGATCAAAACAACGAGATATCATCTCACCCCACCATTAACAACAAAGTTCAAAAGACAGGAAACAACAAATATTGCTAAGGGTGTGAAGAGACTGAAACCCTCATGCACTGCTGGTGAGACTGTAAAATGGTGCAACCACTGTGGAAAATGGTATGGCATTGCCTTAAAAATGTTGGAAATAGAAATGCCATATGATCCAGCAATCCTACTGCTAGGGGTATGTCCTAGAAATGTAAAAGCCATGACATGAACAGATACATGCATACCCATGTTCATTAACATTATTCACAATAGCAAAAAAGATGGAAACAGCCAAAGTGCCCATCAACATATGAATAGATAAACAAACTATGATACATACACACAATGGAATGCTATTCAACATTAAAGACTAATGATGAATCTGAGAAATACCTGATGACATGGGGAGCCTAGAGGAAATTATGCTGAATGTAATTACTAAATTACAAAGGGACAAGTATTATATGAGATTATATGAGATCACTACTGTAAAAAGTCAAGAAAAGGTTTACACACAGAAAGAAATATTGTTTGATCATTACCATAGGTGGGAGGGGAAAGAAGCATAAATTGATACCTAAAGGGTAGACACGTATTAACTAGGGTGAAGGAAAAGATAATGTACAATAAGGGAGAGGTCAACACAAAACAATCAAGGCAAAGGAAGACATTGGAAGAAACACAAGAGTTAAAGGCCACAGAAGTAAATACACATGAAACCCTGCAATAAGAGCAGCAGCAATAATCTGTGAGGGTATATAGAAATAGAATCACAAGCTAAACAGGTTTAGGAAGGCAAATGGTACTACATACATATACCCATGAATATGTGTAGATTTGACAGAGGACATTTCTACATATGTACTTGTATGTGCTACAAAAACATCCATGAATATAGTAGAATTTACAGGATGCAAAGTTATGAAAACTTAGCTGTAAACAAACACCTTGAGGGAATGAGTCAGTGGCCCTGAGGGCTCAGGACCATAGTCTCAGGGGACATCAAGGTCAATTGGCATCACATAGTCCACAAAGACTATGGTCTTAAAAGACTAAGGTCTTCAAAGTTTGTGAGCAACCATCTAAGGTACAACTATTGGTCTCTCCCTGTCCAGAAGGATGAAGAAAATCAAAGACACAAGGAAATAATTAGTCCAAAGAACTGATGGACTTTGTGAACCCCAGAGTCTATGACCTGGGGCCAGAAGAATTAGATGGTGGCTGGCTACCACTGCCAACCACTCTGAAAGGAGTCCTGAACAGAGTGAGAGAAAAATGTGGAACAAAACTCAAAATAGTAGAAGACTGATGGAACCCCTGAGACTGTGGTCCTTAGTCATCCTTAAGGCCTGGAAATGAATTCACTCCCATGGCTCAACTTTTCGGCCAAAAAATAGACAGGAACATAAGGTGGAAAATAACACCAGGGTAGTATGCACTCCTTGGAACCATCAACCTTACGAGAAGAAAAGGGCGGCATTTGCCCAGGGATAAAGTATAGAAGCCAGGAATGGATAGGAAAGAAGGATGAATGAAAATGGTAAATACAGGGGGAAGTGGCAGGAATGCTGTGTCATTGTGAGGACTGTAATCAATGTCATGAAACAAATTGTGTACTAATTGTTGAATGGAAAACCAGTTTGCTCAGTAAACTTTCACCTGAATCACAATAAAGTTAAATAAATATATCTGGAGAGATATCTTTTGTAAGAACGATAATCAGTGGCTTATTTTATTGTACGGGAGCTCTGATGGCACAGTGCCTAAGGCATTTGACTACTAACCAGAAGGCTGGCCATTCAAACCCACCAGCCACTCCTGGGAAGGAAAGTTGGGCAATCTACTTCCGTAGTGATATCACCTTAGAAACCCAAGGAGGGGTAGCTATGAGTCAGATCCAACTCGATGACAGTGAATTTGGATTTTTGGTTTTATTTTATTATATAAATCTATATAGATAGATTGATTGAGTATATAATACATGCATTAAAATTTTCAAACAGTATAAAAGGTTATACATTAAGAAGTGATTCTCATTTAGCCCTGACTTCCCATCTCATATTCCCTCCCTAGAAGCAACTGCTTTTGTGTGTGTGTTGGGGGGGGCGGGGGTAACCATCCGAAGATATACATTCTGCATCTTGCCTTTTTTCATTTAACATCATACCTTGCAGAACATTCCATTTTAGTACATACTGATCTACCTAACTCTGTTAATTGACCATTTCATAATGTATTTAACTCATAGTGATGAATATTAATATTCTTTCCAGACTTAAAGCAAACTTTTAAGGAAAAACGATCCCTAAGAGTTAAAGTGGGGTCATCACCAGGTGAGAGCACAGGAGAGGATGGGACCCAGTGGGGACATAGGGGTCGGGAGATGGTCTACTGAGGCTCTGGATGCTCCAGGGAACCCTGTTTGATGATGCGGTGTTTCTATCCCACAGGAGCCTAATGCCCAGGACCCTTGAGAGCCAGATCACACTGGAGAAGACGCCCAGCTACTTTGTCACTCAAGAGGCCCCTCGACGGATCTTCAACATGTCTCGTGATACCAAACTGATCGTGGTCGTGCGGAATCCTGTGACCCGGGCCATCTCCGATTATACCCAGACACTCTCCAAAAAGCCTGACATTCCCACCTTTGAGGGCCTTTCCTTCCGCAACCGCACGCTGGGCTTGGTGGACGTGTCCTGGAACGCCATCCGCATCGGCATGTACGCCCTGCACCTGGAGAGCTGGCTGCAGTACTTCCCGCTGGCGCAGATCCACTTTGTCAGTGGCGAGCGGCTCATCACTGACCCGGCTGGGGAGATGGGGCGAGTGCAGGACTTCCTGGGCATCAAGCGGTTCATCACGGACAAGCACTTCTACTTCAACAAGACCAAAGGCTTCCCTTGCTTGAAAAAGCCAGAATCGAGCCTCCTGCCTCGATGCCTGGGCAAATCGAAGGGGAGAACTCATGTACAGATAGATCCGGAAGTGATAGACCAGCTCCGGGAATTTTATAGACCTTATAATATTAAATTTTATGAGACTGTTGGGCAGGACTTCAGGTGGGAATAAGCCAAGGAGATACAAGGGTTTTTCTCTTCTACAAGGGTTGCTCTCAGAGCCTGAGACTTTCCCCCTACTTTCCTGGGCTCCAGCCCCCTTCCTCAATTGGGTCCCATCATCCTGGAATAGGGAAGCCCAGATAAAGCCAGGGGACCAGAGGGTCTCTACCACTAGGTCTTCCCAGTCTGTCAAGGGAGAGTTGATCTGCTTCTGGCATGTTGGATCAGTTTCAGAATTATTCTTCCTTCAGCCCATAAGAAAACCAAAAATAAAAACGCATTGCCATCAAGTTGATTACAACCCATAGTGATCCTATAGGACAGAGTAGACCTGCCCCATAGGGTTTCCAAGGCTATAATCTTCACAGAAGCAGACTGCCACATCTTTCTCCCACTGAGCAGCTGATGGGTTGGAACCGCTGGCCTTCCAGCTAGTAGCTGGGCGCTAAACCACTGTGCCACCAGGGCTCCTCTCAGCCCGTATGAGAGGCTTTGGGAAACTGCATTCACAAGAATGGATCATCCAAAGATGATATTTTCAGTGGTGACGGTTCCATAGCTATGAACACAGCAGTCTGTCCCTGTCACTGTCCACTCTGTAGTGAGCATGTTAATGCCAGGTGGCATGTCCCTCCCTCCTGAGCTTAACCTCCCTGAGTGGCCCTATGTAGTAGAGTGGGAGACCATCCTCTGTCCTCAGACCTTAGTAGCTCATGTAAAGCAGGCCACACCCCCAGCCACTCTTAGGAGACAAACACTCTGATGATGAAATGAACCAGTGATTTCAAAGCCCTTGGTCTAAACTGTGCTTGGAGGATACTATCTTTGAAAACCACTTTGTGACTCTCCTGCTCCCTATGGACAAAAGCACATATTCTGCTGTTACGGGTACTTTCCTCACGCGAGCGTTCATGCTCAGCATGCGACGGAATCATGCTTGTCCATGTGAAATAAATATGGCTCTCTCGTGTCCTTCACACTGGGCTTTTCTCTGTTAGCCAGGCCTGGAGCGTGGTGCATTCAGTCATACCTCCCCATGCCAGGTGTGGGCTGGTGTTGGGAGGGCCTGGGAGAGTTGGAGGGGTGCAAAGACTCCACAGGGGAGAGACAAAAAGTGGGGTGAAGGTAAAAGAAGTTCTTGCTGGCAGAGGCTGGGGAACAAGGATCACATAGACACCTCTGGGGATGTCTCTTTCTGGAACCTAAGTCTGTCTGTGTCAGTTCCCCATTTAGAAGCACTTGCCAAACTGGAGGTCCAAGGGCTGAGGACACAACAGATGTATTTTTGCTTGGTCAGCATGATGTTTTCAGATAAGTGCCAACATTTAAAATTTGGAGTCCTTGGGTAGCACTAATGCCTAAGTGCTTGAGTTCTAGCCAGAAGGTTGCTGTTCGAACCCACCCAGAGGCACCTCAGAAGAAAGACCTGGCGATCTGCTTCTGAAAGCCTCTGGAATGGTTCTGCTTCTCACACACGGAGCTGTCACTAGGAGTCAGCATTAGCTCCATGACAACTAACAGTAACAAGGACAGCAACAACTGGGAGTGTTTGCACAAAAATACGGTTTTCCAGCTTGTTATTTGAAAAATACATGGAATTTGCTTACACTAGGCCTGCACTCCAGGTGGCAAAATTAATTGACTACTGCCTTTGGATGGGGCATGCACGCCCCGGTTTTCCAACACCCCACTTAGTCCACCTCACTGATTTGCATCATCCACCTGGCCCCTGCAAGCATTTAAATTTGCAACCCTGCCTTAGTTGTGACCTGTAAACTCAGAATGAAGCCCAAATCCTCCTGCATGGCATCTGGGATGACTCCAAATTACAGTCGCCTCCTCCTCCTCCCTCATCCACTGCAGCAGCCTTAGAGACCTGTGTCCCGTTTCTTTACTTTTTCAAATCTCTGTGCCTCTGCCCATGCTGTTTCCTTTACCTGGGGTGCTTCCCCCACCACCTAAAGAAGACCTGTTCTCTCCTGTAAGACTTCACACAAGTGTCGCTCAATATTTATAAAACCTTCCCTGCCACACTGAGTTCCCGGCGAGCTTTTTCTCATTCACTTGCTATCAGTTACAGCTTTTACCATCTGCATTTGTGTGTGTGTGTGTGTGTAAATGTTTCCACCATAGACCATGAACTCCTCAAGGCTCTAGGTCGTGTCTTTTTGACACATAGTAAGAGGGCAGTGGTTGTCCAGTGGTAGTTCAGTAGTAGAATTCTTGCCTTCCACGAGGAAGACCCAGGTTCGATTCCCACCCCATGCACCTCGTGCACGGCCGGCCACCCCTCGTCTGTCAGTGGAGGCTTGCATGTTGCTATGACGCTGAATAGGCTTCAGCAGAGCTTCCAGGCTAAGGTGGACTGGGAAGGAGGCCTTGTGAGCTACTTCTCAAAAATCAGCCAATGAAAATCCTGTGGATTACAACAGTCCAATCCCATTGCACATGGAGTTCCCATGAGTCAAGCAACTAACAACAACAACAGATAGTGGGCACACAGCACATGTTTGATGGATGAATGAATGCATGGATGGATAGCTGAATGTTGGACACCTGGGGCATGGGTGGGGCTATCCCACGGAACTTGACTTCTGGGACTTGCTTCCCAGATTGCTATAGGACCCACAGGGTGATGGGGAAAGATTGCTTAACCCCCATGAGCGTCATTGCTTTTGTGTGCTGTCAGTGATGGTAGAAGTTCCCTGGAAATCAGAGCTTGGCTTACAAGGGTGGAGGACACAAAAGTCTAAGACATTTGTTCTGCTGCCTTGGTGCATCTTCCTGATCTAAGCGTCTTACAGGAGATTGAATGACTGGGACCACGCTACCAAAAAAAGTCACTTTGGTGAGTCTACTCCCTCTGTGTTTTCCCCGTGGTCGTGGAGAAGTGGCAGGGAGGGCAGTGGGAGCCGTGACCACCCAGAAGCCAGGGCCCTGAACCACTGATGGGTTTTATGTGGACATTACTGTGCCTGTGTACGTTTTCCATCCCACTATACTTCATGACCTGGGCCATGTTGTATTCACTGAGAGACAGAAGTACATTGGAATATAAAAGAAATAGGCAGGAAGGAGGTGATGAAGTTTGCCTGGAGAAAGTCCAATCAAAATTGATGGAAATTCTGAATTTTGTGTGTGCTTAAATGCAGCTTTATTCCTTTGCATAACAAGCTTTCTCCAACCTCCACAGTAGCCTCAAGTATTATCTGCTTTAATGAATAGGTAAGAGTCCATTGTAATTAGCATATCAACCATTGTATGCAAATGAAAGATGCTAAAGTACTTGAAAAATCCTAGTTTAAAGGAGTCAATCTGATGTACACAGTCTGCGAAGCAAACTCTGATTTTTAATCCAGTGCAAAAGTACCCTGTAGCCCAGGGCAAACCTGCATAAGGTCCAAACTAGTAGGGTTTAAATAGGTGAAATTTGACTGTTCAATCTGAAACTAAAAGCCCCTCTGAGGAAGAGGGGATGAAAGCACACGCAAGCCTGTGTGTGTATGTGTTTGTGTGTGTGTGTGTGATGTATTGTGATTTGATCAGGCTGCTGAAACAGAAACCCCAAAGTGCCTTAAAAAGATGGATATTGGTTTTTCTCTAACAGTCCAGAGAATATGATGGTGCCACAACACCACAGTCTCCTTTCACCTAGTCCTCATGACCCAATCTGGCTCAGCCCACGCCTGCCTTCCACTCAGCATGAATGGAGTGTAGAAATAAAGGGAGATCCCCACCCCTCAAAAGAGGACACACAGAGACTATACAACCAGACCTTGCTGTTGAAGTCAGTCACCATCACTTGCTTTTGCCAGAAAAGTGGGAAAACTTGATAGTGAACAGAAGGGACGGCTTCCGGTATTCCGTGATTGTTGGCTTGAGGAAGCTGGAGGCAGGCTACCCAGAACAGGAGGATCTTAGGAAACTGCTTTGAGGACTATATTTGAATTTCTCTGATTGGTTCTGAGTTGGAAGCAAAGGCAAAAAACAGGAAAGCTGGCAGTCACTGACCAAGTCCTGGCTCTAGGGACTTGGTGCAGAGGTTGTGGGACAGAGTTCTAATGTCCTGTATGGTTTGGCCATTGTTCGTTTGTACATTTAGTCCCTCAGGAACAAAAGATGGCATGGAAAGAGCATGTCTGTTCCTTTTGACATTGCAACGTCACTTCCAGTCCGATCCTTCTCACATTGGGAATGCTGCTCCCTGGGGTAGTTGTACCATTTCCACTCCCAACCCTTTGGGTAGAACTTGGTCATTTAGTCACACTTGGGGACAAGGAAGGTTGGAAATGTAATCTTTAATTTGGTGGCCATGTGCTCAGCTAAACATGTGGTATTTTCCCACAGAAGAAGGGGAGAACAGATACGGGGGGACACCATGCTGTCTTGGCCACAGAACCTTATCCACGTATCAGTGCTATTGTGCACATTGGAGTCTGTGTGTCTGTGGCTCTGTGAATCTCCATATGTGAGTGTGCATCTCCAAACATATGGGAATGCATCTATATCTGTCTGTCCTTAGAGACAATATGATATACTGGCAATCACAACTCTGGCTGTCCAACAGGCCTGAATTTGAATTTTATCTCTGCTATTTCCTAGTTCTGGTAGTGTAGTGGCTAAGGCATTTGACTGCTAACCAGAAAGCTGGCAGTTCAAACCTCCCAGCCACTCCTCAGAAGGAAGGTTGGGCAATCTCCTTCCGTAGTGATACCCAAGAAGGAGTCTCTATGAGTCGGATCGACTCAACAGTAGTGAGTTTGGTTCAGAATACCCTATGGAGCACGGTTCTACAATGACACACGTGGGGTCATCATGAATCAGAGTTGGCTCAGTAGCAGCTGGTTATCTTTTCTAATGTGCATTGGAATTAAGTCACTCTCACAACCCAGGCTCAAGTGGCTAGGCTGCAGAGTTCTGACCAAATAAACCTAGTGCCCATAAACCGACTCCCAGGGTTTCCCAGTAATAGACAGTGTTTCACTGCTACTCATAAGGTTTTCACTGGCCAGTGCTTTGAGAAGTGGATGCCCATTCCTTCTTCCAAATCTTAGTCTGGAAGTTCTGCTGAAACCTGTCTACCATGGATGACTGAAGAACAAAGATGTCTCTTTGAAGACTAAGGTGTGCCTAACCCAAGCCATGGTATTCTCAATCACC